AAACTAATTAAACTAATTAATAGACTTGGAAATTAACTAGAGGGGGGATGGATCAAGGACCTGGTGACATAACACATACAGAGAGATGGACAAGTGAGATCAAGTGTGAATGTTCATCTTCTACCTATGGGGACTGTCAAGGACTTCCTAAGGTGATCCTAAGAGAGTTCTAGGTTGTGGGGAGTAATCTCTCAGGTGCAGGCTTGGACACACTGAATGAAATTGTCTTCGCAGACAGCCTGTTCTAAAGATATCTCAACCCACATTCTTCACAGTACAACTGCCAGCAAAGAAGAGAAAGAATTAATATAAATTGGGTAGATGAATAGGTAAAGAAAATGTGGTGCATAAGGATGTTAGAACCATTCTGACCATCCTTCAGAAAGAAAATGCCACTGTTAATGACAACCAGAGGGAATCTGGAGGTATTAAGTGCAAGAAGCCAGTCACAAAATGACAAATACCATAGGATCTCCCTTATGTATGGAATATAAGGTATTCATTTCAGAAATAGATAGAATGAGTGTAGATCAGTTACCTGAGAAGTAGAATGGAAAAAAGAAGATGCTAGTCACAGGTACAAAATTCTACTTAGGAGAAATGCATTTCTAGAGAACTACCAAGCAGACAGTGACAGGTTGTTTCTTTCAAAATTCTAATAATGGTAGATAAGTAACATTAAACTTTAAAAAGCAATGAGTGTCAGAAAAGCCTTACATGCAACTTAGCAGGCAAATGGATGGAACTAGAAAATATCATCCTGAATGAGGTAACTCAGACCCAAAAGGACATGCATGGTATGTACTCACTAATAAGTAGATATTAGCCAAAAAAAAAAAGTACAGCGTACCCAGGATACAATCCATGGAACTCAAAACATTTAACAAGCAGAAGAGCAGAAGAGCCCAGGTGAGGAAGCCTTAATCCCACTTGGGAGGAAGAAGAAAGGATGGAGGGGAGAGGGAGAGAGGGACCTGGGTGGAAAAGGCGACAGGGAGTGTAAGAGGGGAACAGGGTCAGGCACTGGGTAGGGGAAATAGAACTGAAGCCCTGAGGTCCAGCAGAAAGGATAGAAACAGGCAACCTCAGGAGGTAGGAGGTAGGGGAACCCTTCAACATGTACCATAGACCTGGGAGTGAGGAGAGGAAACTTGTGGAGCCCACCTCCAGCAGAAAGACAGGGCATCATGTGAGAGATGGAGTTGCCATTCCACAATCAAATATTCATGAACCCACACACCTTTGATCACTTCATATTTGACAAAGTAACCAAAATCATCCAATGGAAAAAAGACAGCATTTTCAACAAATGGTGCCGGTTCAACTGATGCAAACTGACCCATTCTTATCTCCTTATAAAAAGCTCAAGTCCAAGTGAATCAAGGACCTCCACGTAAAACCAGATATGATGAATCTAATAGAAGAGAAAGTTGGAAAGAACCTCAAACACATTGGCACAGGGGAAATTTTCCTGAACAGAACACTAATGGCTTATGCTCTAAATCTAATTCTAAATCTAAATGTCTAATTGACAAATGGCACCTCATAAAATTCAAAAGCTTCTGTAAGGCAAAATACACTGTCAATAGGACAAAACAGCAACCCACAGATTGGGAAAAGATCTTTACCAATCCTACATCCAATAGAGAGCTAACATCCAAAATATACTAAGACCTCAAGAAGTGAGACGCTAGAGAACCAAACAGCCCTATTAAAAATGGAAATACTGGGACAAAGGGTAGAGCAGAAACTGAAGGAAAGGCCATCCAGAGACTGCCCCTCCTGGGGATCTATCCCACATGCAGACACCAAACCCAGTCACTATCAGGGATGCCAAGAAGTTCTTGCTGACAGGAGCCTGATACAGTTGTCTCCTAAGAGGTTCTGCCAAAGCCTGATCAATATAGATAAGGGTGCTCGCAGCCAACCATGGGACTGCACACAGAAACTCTATCAGAAGAGTTAGGGAGAAAATGGAAGGAGCTGCCAGGGCCTTATCTGGCATCAATGAGAGGGGATGCTCTTGGTCTTGTGAAGGCTTGATCCTCCAGTGTGGACAAATACTAGAGTGGTGAGGTGGAAATGGGTAGGTGGGTAGGGAGTACTCTCATAGAAACAGGGTAAAGGGGAATAGGATAGAAGGTTAGCAGAGGGGAAACCAAGAAAAGAAATAACATTTGAAATGTAAATAAATAAAATATCCAATAAAGGAAAATAATAAAAATAATAATTTAAAATTGGAGTACAGAGCTAAACAGAAAATTCTCAGCTAAGAAATCTCAAATGGCTAAGAAGCACTTTAAAAATATTCAACATCCTTAGTCATAAGGTAATGCAAATCAAAACACTCCTGAGATTCTACTTTACACCAGTCAGAATGGCAAACTTGGTGACAGCAGATGCTGGCAAGAATGTGGAGAAAGAGGAACAATCCTCCAGTGCTGGTGGGATTGCAAGCAGGTACAATCACTCTGGAAATCAGTCTGGCAGTTCCTTAGAAAATTGGAAATAGTTCTAACTGAGGACCCAGCTATATCACTCCTAGACATATACCCAAAAGATGCTCCAGCATACAACAAGGACACATGCTTCACTATGTTCATAACAGTCTTATTTATAATAGCTAGAAGCTGGAACGAACCCGGATGTCCCTCAACAGAGGAATGGATACAGAAAATGTGGTAAATTTACACAATGCAGTACTACTCAACTATAAAGACTTCTTGAAATTTGCAGGCAAATGTATGGAACTTGAAAATATTATCCTAAGTGAAGTAACCCAGTCACAAAAGAACACACATGGTATGTGTTCACTGATAAATGGATATTAAGCTTAGAATACCCATGATACAACTCACAGACTATATGAAACCCAGGAAGAAAGAAGACCACACCAAAGTGTGGATGCTACAGTCCTACTCAGAAGGGGGAAGAAAATAATCTCAGGAAGTATAGGGAGAGAAGGATCTGAGAAGGACAGAGGAGGGGGAGGGAAAAAGAGGGGATGATTCAGATATAGGAGGAGATAGGGTAGAAATACAGAAAATCAGCAATTTGAAAGGAGGTATGTAGCAGTCAGGGAGGTGCAACTGGGAGTAGCCACTAGAAAATGGCAGATGCAAGAGACCCAAGAGGTTCTCAGGACTCAACATGGAAGATATTAGACAAAATACTCCAACAAATGGAAGACAGAACATGTAGAGACCATATACAGTGTACAGTCACAGTCCCCGGTTGAGGGGTGGGGTACCCATGGGGTACCCACCTATCTCAAAAATATTAATCCAGTATTCCTTCTAATGCAGAGACAAAATGTGGAGCAGAGACTAAAGGAAAAGCCATCTAGAGACTTCGTCACCTAGAGATCCATCCCATCTGTAGACACCAAACCCTGACACTATTGCTGATGCCATGAAGTGTTTGCTGGCAGGAGCCTAGTAAAGCTGTACCCTGAGAGGCTCTTCCAGAGCCTGACCAATACAGATGCAGATCCATGCAGCTAAACATTGGACTGAGCATGGGGACCCCAATAGAGAGGTTAGGGGAAAGACTGAAGGAGCTGAAGGAGTTTGCAGCCCTATAGAAAGAACAATATCAACGAACCAGACTCCTCAAAGCTCCCAGAGACTAAACCACCAACCAAAGAGTACATATGGGGGGACACATGACTTCAGCTGGATATGTAGCAGAGGACTGCCTTATTGGGCATCACTGGGAGGGGAGCCCCTTGGTTCTGTGTAGGCTCTCATCATAGGGGAATGGTAGGGCACTGAGGCAGAAGTGGGTGGGAGGGTAGGGGAGCACCCTCATAGAGGCAGGGGGAGGGGATAGGATGGGGGTTTGTAGAGGGAAAACTGGGAAGAGGGGTCACATTTGAAATGTAAATAAATAAAATAACCAATAAAATATACAAGTAAATTAAATTTGAAGCAAAAAACAAAAACCTCTGGCCCATAATTGTACCTATCTGAAAGAACTTCAGGGACAAAAATGGAGAAGAGCTGGAAAGGAGGTCCAATGACAGGCCCAATTAGGGATCCAACTCAAAGGGAGGCCCCAAGGCCTAACACTATTACTGAGGGTATGCTGTGCTCACAAAAAGGACCCTATCATGACTGCCCTCCAAAAGACCCAACAAACAGCTGAAAGAGTCAGATGCAGATATTTTTACACCCAACCAATGGACAGAAGCTGCTGACTCCTGTGGTTGAATTAGGGAAAAGCTGGAAGAAGCTCAGGAGGAGGGTGACCCTGTAAGCGGAGTGGCAGTCTCAACTAACCTGGATGCCCGAGATCTCTGAGACACTGGGTCACCAACCAGGCAGCATATGAGTCCCCCAACACATATACAGCAGTGGACTGCCGGGTCTGGAGTCAGTCAGAGAAGATACACCTAACCCTCAAGAGACGGGAGACCCCAGGTTGTGGGGAGGTCTAGGGGTGGGAGTGAGGGGGTGACAGCATCTTCATGGAGACATGGGGGTAGGGGGGTGTGAAACAGTCAGAGGGTGGACTGGGAGAGGGATAAAATCTGAACCACAAAAAAAAAGATTAATTAAAATTTTAAAAAATCATAGCAGTGCCAGGCGGTGGTGGTGCACGCCTTTAATCCCAGCACTTGGGAGGCAGAGGCAGGAGGATTTCTGAGTTCAAGGCCAGCCTGGTCTACAGAGTGAGTTCCAGGACAGCCAGGGATAGACAGAGAAACCCTGTCTCGAAAAAACAAACAAACAAAAAAAATCATAGCAGTGTAAAATAAACATGAAAACAGCATGCTCCATTCTGTAAGTATATATCATTGCTATTTGTCAGTTAAAATATTATAAACAAGAAAACAAAGGAAGGCAGACAGAATGAAAGGAAGGTAGATGAAGCTTGTATAGTTGGGAGTGTTTATCATTACAGGGAATATTCAAGGGTCTCCCTCCAGACATCCCAGGTGCACATGATCCCCTTGAAAGCTGCCCATGGGTACAGAAGCAACCGAAGACATAACTCACCATCCTGTGTGTTAATTTTCCATCCCAGGCACAGCACTGAAAGAAAAAGTCCAGTGAGAAAGACGTTACCCACAGTTTGCTTAGAGATGAGGATCTAGGAAGAACTAAATGTTGGCAGGGACATCCAGCCTCCCGTGATTACACAGCCATTCCTCCTCTGCTCCTCCACGTTAATGTCAGAGTATAATCCTCCATCTTGTTTTGTAAGAACTCTACATTATCCCCAAGGCCACAGGTGGAAACATTCAAGTATTATTTGGACTGCAACATGAGTTCAAAGTCAGTCTGAGCGTGATAGTGAGACTATGTCTTAAAACCAAAAGTAAAATGAGGACTGGGTTGGGGGAGAGAAGTTCATTAGCCCCAACCCCTAGCTCGAGGAGCTATTGACAGTTTATAGAATCTGGGGAAGGGAGGGTGAGTATTCCAGAAGGATACAGCCTCTGGTAGGTTGACCATGCTTCAGCAGATGGTCCCACACCCTTGTGTAGATGGCACAAATTACATTCATTGGATAATTTTTAAAAGGTTGACACAATATTGGGATAGGGAGTGAGTGAGTATGGAGTTACAAGCAAGAGTAGAGGTGAATGTGATCAAAACACATTGCATGCACCTATGAAATTCTCAAAAGGTATTTTAAATATATATAATAACAAGAACTTCGTTATCACTATGCCCATAGATTGATGCATCCCAACCCACATCTTCTCAGCAGCTTCTGTGGAGATCAACACAGAGACCCATCATGGGCCAAGGTGTAGATAAAAAGAGACTGCAGAATGCTCGACCTTAAAGGGAACAAACAAACCACAGATCTCTTCCTCACACTACTCGAGGATCATTTAGGAAGAGTGAATAGAAAGAATGCTAGAGGCAGACACAGTAGATGACTTCAGGGAATACACTGTATTCTGAACACAAAAGTCAGCTGCACACATCACTCACAACAGTTGTGACAGCTTCATAAGACCTATGCAAAGCCAAGCAAGACCAAATACCAGAATTGGAAGGGAAATTAGGCACACATTCCCTGCATTAGTCTTAGAGCTATTGAGAATCGTTAACTGCTAAGATCTGGAGAGTCAACTTTCTTTGTTTTATTTAAGAGTGTAGCCCCTAAAGCTGATCCTAATGGCTCACAACTCTAATCCCAGCACTTGGGAGCCAGACCCAGGTGGATCTATGCATTTAGGGCCAGCCTGGTCTACATTCCAGGACAACCAGGGCTACATAGTGAGACCATGCCTCAAAAATATAACATAAAATAAAGTAAAATAAAATAAAAATTAAATTAAAATGTAGTCCCTGATAAGTCAACCATGCTCCAGTGCTAGACCACTTACTTAGGAGTGTTTGGGCAGCACAAATTGGTCTTAAAGTGCTTACAAAAAATGAAATAAAGTTAAGATGGTAGGGAGGAGAGGTAGGTAGATCTTGGAAGAGTTGAGGGTGAGTAATGTAAGGAACTCTCAAAGAACTAACAAAACCTTTTTCTTTAATTCTGAGCAGGATAGTCAATACTACATAGCATTTGTGATTGTAAAATATAAAGAGGGTTGGGATGTAGGAGATACAGTTAGTTATAGCATGCTTACCTAGCATGCAGGAGACCCTGAGTTCCAGCACCAGGAAAAATAAATGTCCCCAAGTCATCTTCCCTTCCAAACAAGCTCTCCCTAACTCCTTTTAAAGCTGAACTTGGCTTCATGCCCCATCACTGTTGCTAACAATAAGTCTGCAGAGCTTTCTTCCAAGTAGGAGATGGGGGCCTATAGACTCTCCTCCCAGGAACTCCAGAATCTCCTGGGCTGGTTTCAAGACTGAGTAAGGAATAAACTCCCTTCCACATCCCTCAGGTTTCCCAGGACTCACCGAGCACCAGCACGATGACAGGATGAAGTGACATGACTTGGGGTCCAGCAACCTTACCAGGTCTGGCTGGAGCAGACGCCCTGCAGCAGGCACAGGAAGCAGGATGTGTGCACTGCAGCTCACCACAGCGTTTCTATATGCTTCCTCACATGAAGAGGAAGAGGTTTCTCCTCTGGACTTTTCCGTTTCCCTTAGCCACTGGTTCACAAGAAGGTGTCAGGTCCTCAAAGCTGTTTCAGGCCCGTAAGTTTAGATGCAGCTGAGATCATTCCTCAACTTGTTTGCCTCTCTGTAAATATGCAAGAATACGTTTGTACACATCAGTCCCCATTGTAGAAAGTAAAGCCCACCAGTTTATGCAAGACATTTCAATACACAAAGCTCACATTTCCTCATGTTTTAAATGAGAAACATTTGATGTTATGATTTTTGTAAACAATCTCAACCAGAAAAAAAAATCTCAACCAGATATTTTATACATTACATGTGTCGTGCTGTAAATAATGCTTTTATTATTAAATAATATTGGTGTGTGAGTGCGTGTGTGTGTGTGTGTGTGTGTGTGTGTGTGTGTGTGTGTGTGTGGTAGCAGTCAGAGGACAACTCACCAAAGTCATTTCTCTCCTTCTACAATGTAAGTCCTAGGAATCAACTTCAGGATGTCAGACTCAATGTCAAGTACCTTTACCCATTGAGCCATCTCACTGAAAAAGATAATATTTTTAAAAACTAATAAATATTGTCAGAAGTATATATAAATTAAATCGTTTTGTACTGTTAACAAGAACACAGGGCCTCAGCTGTTCTGAGGAATGCTGCCCCTGAGTTAATGAGTCAGGATCATTTTGGGTAAGCTGATGCCCTCCCTCCATGCCACTAAAGCAAAAAAAAAGTGGAAATCACAGGGAAGAATGCTCTTCTTCTTTGGAAATAGCATTATGACTTCACACACACACACACACACACAAAGAAATTAAAAATAGAACTCCAGTAGACAGGGGAAATAAGTATGGAAAGTGGCATGTCAGCACTCCCATAATCATTGCAACTCTGTTCACAAGATCTGTGATAGAGAAATCATTCTGAAAGTGGCTGAAGAAAATGTGGTGTACATAGCCAGTGGAATGAAGATGCTGCTGCTGCCATGTGAAGAGCCACGGCTGAATCTTCAAGAAATGGCGAAAAGTGAAATGAACAAGACCCAGAAGGACAGGTGATGAGTTGTTCGCCTCATTGGAGGTATGTAAGTATGGTCATATTCAAGCTGACTATGTTGATCCATTCCTGTAACCCCTGTACTTCGGAGAATGAGGCAAGATTGCCATGAGTGCAAGGCCATTCTGCACTACAGAATGAGTTCTGAGCCAACCTGAGCAATATAGAAATATTTTTCTCTCAAAAAACTAAAATAGATAAAGCCAATTCATAAAAGCAAAATTTTAAATGTTGTCTACCAGAGTGGAAAACATGGGGAAGTTATTTATCAACAGACAAAAACTTTTAGTTAATCAATATGAATAACTCTATGACAACACAGCATCTATAGTCAATATTAGTAAAGTGTGCAGTTAAAATGTTAAGAGAATAAATTTTATGGATTTTTTTCTGTCTTAGCTAGGATTTCCATTGCTGTGATAAATCACCATGAGCAAAAGCAATTTAGAGAGAAAGTGGTTTATTTCACCTTAGACTTCCAGTAAGACTTTAACTGAACCCAAGGTGAAGCAAAGGCTATGGAGGAAAGCTGCTTACTGGCTTGCTCCCTATGGCTTGCTCAGTCTTCTTTCCTATACAACCCAGGAGCACCACACCAGGGGATGCACTACTCACTGTGTGGTAGGCTAACCCATATCCATCGTTAATCAAGAAAATGTCTCACAGCCTTGCCCATAGGCCAATATGATAGATGTCTTTCCTCAATTGAGGTTCCTTCTTCCCAAATAATTCTGCCTTGTGTCAAGTTGACAAAACACTAGTTAGCGCTCTCTCTCTCTCTCTCTCTCTCTCTCTCTCTCTCTCTCTCTCTCTCTCCTGTCTTCCCCTACACCTTATTTTCCTTTCCTCTCTCTATTCTTCAGTACCATTGAACCTAGGATGGTACAAAGTAGCATAAACAAAATCATAAAAGAACTGAATAGACAGAGGACAGACCTAGGGTTTGAGGACAGATGGATGAGGAAAGACAGCGCTTTGTGCGCCGTGAGCAAAGTTGAGTAGTGGCATCCTCCTACAGAGTCTCTGAGGTCATCTGTGTCTGAAGACAGGCATAATGACTCCCCACCGTCCCTCTGGCTGACACAGTTGGTGGTTGACAAAACAGCATGTGCTCAATTGTCCTACTCGTAAAGTCCTAGCTCTGTGTAAGTAGTCCTGTTCTAAGCCTGTGAGGGTGGACAGAGAGGAACTGAAGTTTGAGCTAAGACAATTTCAACAGTCCAACGTGTCACTCACACTTGACCTTGCAATTGTCCTACCTCAGCTTCCTAAGTAGCTAGGATTGCAAGGTCTGTGCCACCAGGCCCAGCTTGTCCAAAGCAGCTCAGATGACCAAATGTGACCAAGTGATAAAGTAGATTAAATGTTATGTATTGTGGGTTGTTAGGAATGAACCCTCTTTTCCTTACAGAGGGTTTCACAAGAATCAGAGATGGATGCTGTGGTTCCCAGCCTCCTGTGTACCCAGGTGTCATCTGCATACTGCTGGGAGTTGGGAACTGGGGTCCATGGGTCAGTACTTCCTATCAGGGTATCTACTAGCCAGGCCATCTCCTAGAGCTTTAGGCAAGCTCCTAATGAAGCACCCCTACCCCATGGCCCTGGCAATCTTTGATAAAGGAGATGGCCCTTGATTTTCCAAACTATTTTATTTGATGGCAAATGTAAATGTATGCACCCTCCTCAGGGTGACCCAGGGAGCAAATATCTTTTCTGGAAAGGAATGCCCAGGAAAGAAAGCTCATTGGCTGAACACTTGGGGCCTATAGATATCTCATTAGCATGGAGAACTCCAGTTTTATGCTACATAACTAATTGCCATGGTCTTCTTAGTGGGGTGTCATGGTTACGTGTTCCAATTAGGTAGTTTGGTAAGGAGCTGGATCCACTACTGCCATTCTCAAGTCTGAGATTCTCCAAGGTCAGAGCCTGCTCAACCTTACCAGTTCTGTCTGGTTACTCAGTCCCCATACCCCACATTCTGGCTTTAACCCCTCTTCTCTGGTGTTTCCTGAGCCTTGAGACAGAGGACAGCTGTCCTGTCTATTGCTGAGCACTCACGACAGCTTATCCTCAATATTTCACATAGTTATGAGAGTCAACATTAATCCCTTTGCACTGCAGTGAGAAGCTTCTCTGACCAAGTTTGAGAGCAGCACAGATATATGGCCATAAACAAAAATATTTAGAGGCTCTTTGACACATTCATTTAGCAAAACAATAGTTTTCTCCCCTAAGACTACTGACCTCAGTAGCCATGGATTGGGGTCAGGGTTAGGTTTCAGTTTCTAGCCACGGGATTTGACCATGTTTGTAGTACCTGCCTTGTGGGGGATTAGCGTGGGAAGGGTGATACACCGTTGGCTGAATCCATGAAGGCAGAACTTGGGCCTGCATGGTCATATCTGTTGGTGTGAGCTTAACAGTTGTTGTATGTGGCCTGATAGCTTTCATTTCATTCATAACTATGGTGCATTTTCCAAAATCATGGACTCCCACCAAGCACAGTGTATGGTCTGTCTGGTTGCCTCATAGCTTCACTGACTCTTGAAGCTTCTCCTTTTTCATCTTAGATGCATCACTTTTTGGAATGATGGCTTTTTTTTCTGTTTGAATTCCTGTGACTACATAATTGAGACAAGTTTCATATGATATTTGGATTTTTGAGAAGTCTTTCTCATTTCCTCTTTTCTTAAAAACAAGTTATATTTTAGTTAAATAGGAAGAAGTTTTCTTTTCTTGCCAAACATTTGAGTTCTGTGTCAAATCCATAAATTATGAATATCAACTTCCCTCTGACAGCTTTCATTCTCACTGGCACATTTTAAAGAACAGAATTCTTAAATCCTTGTGTGGTCCAGTTCATCTTACTTTGTATTTTGTTTTATATTCGTGTGTGTGTGTGTGTGTGTGTGTGTGTATGTGTGTGTGTGTGTTCTGTATATAATATAGGTTCCACACATGACAGAAAACATAGGATATCTGTCTTTCTGTGTCTAGTTTATTTAATTTACTATAATAAACTCCAGATCCATCCATTTCTCTGAGAATGATGTAATTTCTTTCATCTTTGTGGCCCAAATACCCCACTGTGTAAACACACCACATTTTCTTTATTTATTCATGCATTTATTGATGAACAGTGAGTGCCCAGCTTCACCTGACCAATAGGAATCCTTTGTAGAAGATAAATGACAGAGGCAACCCCTGACACTATTATTAATACTCTGCTATGCTTGCAGACAGGAACCTAGCATAACTGTTTCCTCAGAGGCTTCATCCAGGAGTAGGGAAGAAGTGAACAAGTCAGAAGGATCAAGGACACCACAAGAAGATCCGCAGAGTTAACTAACATGAGATCATGGGGACTCACAGAGATTGGGCCACCAACCAGAGAGCATGCAGGAGCTGAACCAGGATTCCCTACATATTTGCAGTAAATGTGCAGCTTGGTCTTCATGTGGGTCTTCTAAGAAGTGGAATGGGGGCTATCTCAGTCTCTGTTTCCTGCCATTGGATCCCCTTCCCCTTACTTGGACTGCCTGATTAGGCCTCAGTGGGAGAGGATGTGTGTAGTCCTCCTAGCACGAGATGCCCCAGGATGGGGTGATACCCAAGGGGAGATCCTCTTCTCTGAGAAGGGAAGGGGGTAATGGGAAGAAGAATTTGTAAGGGTGAGACTGGGAAGAGAGGAAGTAGGGGGCACTGTCATTGGAAAGTGATAAAAAAGAAAAAGAAAAAAATAAATGGCAGAGGGAGTAGTGTCATTCATTTTTTAAACACCGGTGTCACAACTCTGAAGCCAAAATACAAGACTCTAGATCTTAAGAAGTTCTTTGAGGTCTCATCTGACACTCTCTTTTATGTTGTTGT